AGAAGAAGATTTTTAAAGATTTACCTATTTTCCCCCTATTTGGCCCCGCCCCTCTGCCCCCAGGGGGGTTATACCCTCCGTTTATACAAAACTGAGAACCCTTTGGCCAATGATGCTCCTGACCAAATTTGGTCAAAATCCTCTGAGCCATTCAGGACAAGTAGCATTTTAAAGGAAAAAGTTGATGGACGCCGGACGCCGGACGCCGGACGCCGGACGCTGCACCATGGGATAAGCTCACATGGCCCTTCGGGCCAGGTGAGCTAAAAACATGTTGATTGCGTTACAGTAATTTTGCAATGACATATATTTCAGGAGTGGAGAGGGAAAGTGAGTGTAACCCCTGGAATATTTGAGTACAACCAAACTAGTTCTGGTTATAGATATTAATAATAATAATTTGAGGTTCTTATATACCGCTTTATCACAACTTAGTTCGTAGGTCGTCTCACAGCGGTTCACAAATTATTATCTGTGTTTATAGGGTCTTTGCAATGGGCCAATATCTTTCTCAACTCCCTAGGGAATACAGCCGTTGCTGCCATTTCAGCACTCACAGCTAGCATTCAACAATTCTAGCAATGCCCAACCACATACTCATTTACAGCTGAGTAGACTGGAACAAACGGAGTAAAGTATCTTGCTCAAAGATACAACACAGTGCCATGCCATGACTCGAACCCACCACCCTTCGGTCACTAGCCGGGTGTCCTACCACTAGACTACCGTGTCTCTATTATAGGTAATGCTCAAGTGTAAAGGAACAAGAAGTTCAGTGCGCTTGTCTGGACGACTATTGGACAACCTACGATTTCTGTTTGTCGTACCTGAGCAACTTGTCATCGTCTGCCCATGTGTAATTATTCGCAAGCAATGCACAGTGATTGGTTGTTTTTAATCAGCATGTATAATCACATTAGATTAAACAGCCCAACATCAGTAAAACGGTTGATGATGATCAAACTCAGCCATGATATGATTTATGTTTAGAGTTATCTCTCTTGAAAGTGAGTTAAGGATCCCTGTCCCACTGCAGGCATAACACCAGAGAGTTCCTCTGTAGTATCTCATACAGACAGTTATCTCCCTTAACATACAGACAGTTATCTCCCTTTACATACAGACAGTTATCTCCCTTTAATTACTATTCAGCTATAACTGTAGCGAGACTTGGCAAGGGAACTGCCACTGACAGGTAGTAAGCTATATAGTTAGAGCGACTGTTTTTTCTTTACCCTTTCACCACTGTAGATCATAATGGACTTAGCCAGATCAACACATGGTAGAGTTTATTAAAGTTATATAGGGGAAAAAGGGTAAACTCGTCTTTATTTCATTGTTTCTTTAATTTATCTTTGTCTATTTTTTTAACTTCCGCAAGTTTTTTCAGATATTATTTATCAAAGCTTTTGTCATGCCTGTAAGAAGATTCCAAGTCATAATAATTACAGATTTTACACTTATTTTGACCAATGGAAAGTGTAGGTACCTCAAAGACGCATTATTAGAATAACATAAATATCCTTGATCTAATTAAAGACCTTCAACTACAATTGGCCTTGACCCTGTACTTACAAGTGACCTTGAAATCGTTGACACCCCCGAAGATTTCTCGACATCCTCCCCAGTGTTTTACAATCTCACCAATCTGCTGGCCTTTGGATATGTCAGTGATCTGAAGGAATAAACTAACACAGTGAAAGGATTTATTATAACACAGTGAAAGGATTTATTATAACACAGTGAAAGGATTTATTATAACACAGTGAAAGGATTTATTATAACACAGTGAAAGGATTTATTATAACACAGTGAAAGGATTTATTATAACACAGTGAAAGGATTTATTATAACACAGTGAAAGGATTTATTATAACACAGTGAAAGGATTTATTATAACACAGTGAAAGGATTTATTATAACACAGTGAAAGGATTTATTATAACACAGTGAAAGGATTTATTATAACACAGTGAAAGGATTTATTATAACACAGTGAAAGGATTTATTATAACACAGAGAAAGGATTTATTATAACACAGTGAAAGGATTTATTATAACACAGTGAAAGGATTTATTATAACACAGAGAAAGGATTTATTATAACACAGTGAAAGGATTTATTATAACACAGTGAAAGGATTTATTATAACACAGAGAAAGGATTTATTATAACACAGTGAAAGGATTTATTATAACACAGTGAAAGGATTTATTATAACACAGAGAAAGGATTTATTATAACACAGTGAAAGGATTTATTATAACACAGTGAAAGGATTTATTATAACACAGAGAAAGGATTTATTATAACACAGTGAAAGGATTTATTATAACACAGTGAAAGGATTTATTATAACACAGAGAAAGGATTTATTATAACACAGTGAAAGGATTTATTAGAGAGTAAACTTAATTGGTACATTAATACTATGTATAGTAGATATTTCAGGTCCATGCTTTCTTAAACTTAGGCCAAACAAACAATAGTTGGTGTTTCCGGAAGCCCTATCTATCAAAATATTTTGTGACTACCATAATATATGGTAAACTGTACAGTATACTTAAATTCTATCGGAAGGTTCGGGTGCTCTTTATGATATCAAAAGACATACAATGAATGATTTTCACGAAATGTGACGACAAGGTTATAAACGCAAAATCGTTATTTAGTAACTTAAATGCTGAGCACATTACTTTCTCAACGGCAAATCATGATTATTTCATTTACCAAAATCTGCATGAAAATGCTTCCCGATATGGATCGCGAGATTGCTTTGAAATGTGTTGCAGTCGTACAAATTTGAGTGTACCAAGATTATTTATACCTGTATTTAACATAAATCTTTTTTTTTTTTTTCTTTTTTTTTTTTTACAGTTTTCAACCTGCAGACAGTTAGATTCCCAATGAAGATGAGAGATGAGATGAGAGCGAGAAATATATAGAGGAGCTTCTAGATGAGTTCATGCTTCTATTATGCATCAATGATGAAAGAATGATGCAAAGTTTTCTAAAATTAACTCAAACTACCTGTATGTACAGGGAAGTTTATGTTTTGAAAAGAGAGAATGTAATAAAACAAAATGTGTGAAAAGATTTGTTTTATTTATCAAAAAAAAAAAAAGTCCTCAATCATACCAGAAGACACAAAATATGTTTCTTTTTTCTGTATTTGCATACATACTTAAAATCATCCTTATTTCATTCTCATCCAATTTACCTTTTTTACCCTTTCATAGGCTTTGTTCCGTAACACCTAGTGTATTTTAATTAAGACCAGTTCAGGAACTACTTTTCTTTTAAATCTTTATTACGTAGAGTTTGCATAAAAACAAATGTTTGATTTCAAAATGTGTATTAAACATGAAGTTTTGAAATGAAACTCAACATCAATAAAATTACATTTTGGTGAGCTATAACTACCTCTCCTGTTTTAGTCTATGACTTTGGTATTGTCAATCCCTAGGCAATTCCAAACTGAAGAATCTTTCTGAGAGGACATGAGGGATTTCTTTTTGAGAGGACATGAGGGATTTCTTTTTGAGAGGACATGACAGATTTCTTTTTGAGAGGACATGAGGGATTTCTTTTTGAGAGAAAACGAGGGATTTTTTTAGGGGACATGAGGGATTTCTTTTTGAGAGGACATGAAGGATTTGTTTTGAGAGGACATGACAGATTTCTTTTTGAGAGGGCATGAGGGATTTCTTTTTGAGAGGACATGATAGATTTCTTTTTGAGAGGACATGAGGGATTTCTTTTTGAGAGGACATGAGGGATTTCTTTTTGAGAGGAAACGAGGGATTTTTTTTAGGGGACATGAGGGATTTCTTTTTGAGAGGAAACGAGGGATTTTTTTTAGGGGACATGAGGGATTTCTTTTTGAGAGGACGTGAAGGATTTGGTTTGAGAGGACATAAGGGATTTCTTTTTGAGAGGACATGAAGGATTTGTTTTGAGAGGACATGACAGATTTCTTTTTGAGAGGACATGAGGGATTTGTTTTGAGAGGACATGAGGGAATTTGTTTTGAGAAGACATGAGGAATTGTTTTGAGAGGACATGAAGGATTTTTTTTTGAAAGGACATGATGAATCTTTTTAAGAGGACACGAGATATTTTTTTGTGAGGACATGAGGATTCTTTTTGAGAGGAAATGGTAGGTTTTTTGAGAGGACATGGGGATTATTTTTAAGAGGAAATGGTGGGGTTTTTGAGAGGACATGGGGATTATTTTTGAGAGGACATGAGGATTATTTTTGAGAGGACATGTAGAATCTTTCTGAGAGGCCATAAGGAACCTTTTTGAGAGGACATGAGGATTAATTTTGAGAGGACATGGGGATTATTTTTGAGAGGACATGAAGAATCTTTCTGAGAGGCCATGAGGAATCTTTTTGAGAGGAAACGAGGGATTTTTTTGAGAGGACATTAGGAACCTTTTTGAGAGGACATGAGGGATTTTTTTGAGAGGACATAAAGAATCTTTCTGAGAGGACATAAGGAACCTTTTGAGAGGACATAAGGAACCTTTTTGAGAGGACATGAGGGATTTTTTAGAGAGGACATAAGGAACCTTTTTGAGAGGACATGAGGGATTTTTTTGAGAGGACATAAGGAACCTTTTTGAGAGGACATGAGGGATTTTTTTGAAAGAACATAAGGAACCTTTTTGAGAGTACATTAGGAACCTTTTTTAGAGGACATGAGGGATTTTTTTAGAGGACATGATATTTTTTGAGAGGACATGAAGAATCTTTCTGAGTACATTAGGAACCTTTTTGAGAGGACATGAGGGATTGTTTAGAGAGGACATGATATTTTTTGAGAGGACATGAAGAATCTTTCTGAGAGTACATTAGGAACCTTTTTGAGAGGACATTATATTTTTTGAGAGGACATGAAGAATCTTTCTGAGTGTACATTAGGAACCTTTTTGACAGGACATGAGGGATATTTTTGGGAGGACATGAGGGATTATTTTGAGAGGACATAAGGAACCTTTTTGAGAGGACATAAGGAACCTTTTTGAGAGGATATGAGGGATTTTTTTGAGAGGACATAAAGAATCTTTTTGAGAGGACATGAGGTTTTTTTAGAGGACATAGGGAACCTTTTTGAGAGGACACGAGGGATTGTTTTGAGAGGACATAAGGAACCTTTTTGAGAGTACATTAGGAACCTTTTTGAGAGTACATTAGGAACCTTTTTGAGAGGACATTAGGGATTTTTTAGAAAGGACATGATATTTTTTGAGAGAACATAAAGAATCTTTCTGAGAGTACATTAGGAACCTTTTTGAGATGATATGAGGGATTTTTTTGAGAGGACAAAAGGAACCTTTTTGAGAGAACATGTAGAATCTTTCTGAGAGGACATAAAGAATCTTTCTGAGAGTACATTACGAACCTTTTTGAGAGGACATGAGGGATTTTTGAGAGGATATAAGGAATATCTGTAGAGTACATGAGGGATTTTTTCTTTGATCTTCCCTACCGTAAACATGATGTCAGTACATGGGCAACAGAAACAGCATTCTCCATCGATCTGGAACAGTGGCGTCTGCTGCGCATCATGAACTTGGAACTTTGGTTTCCATGGCGTCCATCTGTTGAAAACAATTTCATAATATCAGCTAACCCTATTTTTTCCACCTAACATCTACAGGTCTGGAAGCAAATATTGAAGAGTTTCAGTCAGTGATCAGTGTACATCTTGATGCTTTAAAGGCCTGAAGGACACATTTATGGTTTACTTAAGGTACTGCAACACCCCTAAAATTTCATAATGAACTATTCCAACCTTTGCATTGGAAGAGTTCAAATGTGTCTGCAGGGGTGAATGAGTTAATAAACTTATAATATCGAACCTACCTTGACCTTCCCGGACACCAAGGATATGTTACATAATTAATTTAATTATCAAATACTTATACACAAGTACTCAAGCACTTTTTAAAGGCACATGAAAGCAGTTCGAGTTTTATTATATTTCTATGATTTTTATCACTGAAATTTAACATAGATGTTTTGAAAAAAGCCCCATGGGCCTAGACATAACCTCCGACTCAAAGTAGGGAGGCTGGCTTATTACAAGGTATGTCTATTGGTGGCCAGACTGGCCAGAATAGCAATGTCATGCGACCAGTCCTGGGCGTCGGGCTGTTGGCATTTTAAATCTAAATTACATGCCTCAGAATTATTGCGCTATGCAACCAAATTAACCATCTTTTGATCAGGAGACCTAGAACTAAAGGTTACCATGACAAGTTGGTAAAGAGTTTTCAAGAGCTCTTTTCCGTCTTTGCATATTGCAGAGTTATCTTCTCTTGTGAGCAGGTATTGATTATTACGTCATTGATTTGTGTGAGAAAATTACGTCAATTTCTCAAAAATTGATGACGTTACTCTCACAAACCAATGACGTAACAATCAATTCCTGCTATCAAGAGAAGATAACTCTGCAATACCCAACAAGGAATAGCCCTAACCTTATCATACGGAATAGCCCTACTTCAGAGACCAGAGATTGGTGTTTGTAAACTGCTTGATAACCAATCAACTGAGCATTACCATGGATACGTACATTTGTTTAAGCCCGCCAACGGAAAGGCCCGGAGGTGACATGATGTCCATCTCCTGTAGATAGCAGCACCACAAGAAGCTTGCCTGACATCTAAGTGGCCGGTACAGCGAGATCAGAGGCTGGAAGTTGTTGTCGGTGATGTTCATATTGAAAGGCCTGGCAGGTCCACACAGCTGTCTGGTACAGCAGTCAGTATCTACAATAAACAAGCCATTCAGATTGTATACTTGCCAACTCTCCCTATTTAGGAGGGAGACTCCAGATTTTAGACCCTTAAATTTTGTATTTTCAACCAGTGAAATTGCTAAACTATTCAGACTATATATATTTTAAGATCTATTGATTTTATCTAAAAGAACAACTCAAAATATGTCATTTTTTAAGGAACCGTTTGTCTCTAGGGGGTAATCACAAATTATCTTTGTTTTAAATTTGAGCAGAACCTCTCCCATGGAAATTTCAAAAAGTCGGAAAGTATGAGATTGATATGTCTCACCTATCCCCGCTATATGTCCTGCTTTGACCACCAATGCACATATTAGAGAAACTAACTTAAACGCAAAAACTTTATATCAATAGAGATGCTGACAAAGTCAATGGACCATGAAAGGTAGGCCGCATCAAGCATTTGATTTATGGTTTAAGATGTACTACCTAATATAAGATGCATCTTTGGTCCATGTTTGGTTGGTGTGGCACTTATATCTTCAGAGAAACTAACTTAAACGCAAAAACTTAATGCTGACCCCACCTCCGCCATTAAAGCAATAACTTAGTCACGCTTCCACTTCTTGGCGACGAGAGACAAAAACACATTTAAAGTTATTTTTAAGATTGTTTTGCCATGTCAGTACTAGATCTGTTTCCCCCCGATCGGACGTGAAAATTTATGGGGGCATGCACTGCCTGACCAACTGGGTTTTCTACGGGTACTTATTAATTATATAACCTCTTTTGGATATAAGTTCTGTATACAGCACAGTTCGGCCAGGATACTGTCGACCAGCAGTACAGGCCTAGGTGTACCTATATAGCTAGCTCATGCATCAGTTGGTTATATATATAGAGTGACAGTGAAGTCTGGGGTACACATCCCAGTCAATTTTTACACTCACAACACTAGTACTGTTGCTGATATTTTTCGTTTATATATCATATCATCTTTTTTTTTTTTTCATTCAAGTACTGCAATAAAGTTCTGCAAGCTCAACTACATGTGGTCAAAGCTATTGTCAACGTTATGATTGATCAAAGCTATCGTCAATGTTATGATTGATCAAAGCTATCGTCAATGTTAAAATTTATCAAAGCTATTGTCAATATTATGATTGATCAAAGCTATTGTCAATGTTATGATTGATCACAGCCATTGTCATTGTTATGATTGATCAAAGCTATCGTCAATGTTATGATTGATCAAAGCTATCGTCAATGTTATTATCGAGCAAAGCTATCGTCAATGCAATAATCGATCAAAGCTATTCTCAATGTTATGATCGATCAAAGATATCGTCAATGTAATAATGGATCAAAGTTATTGTCAATGTTATGATTTATCACAGCCATTGTCATTGTTATGATTGACCAAAGCTATCGTCAATGTTAAAATTTATCAAAGCTATTGTCAACGTTATGATTGATCACAGCTATTGTCAATGTTATTATTGATCAAGCTATTGTCAATGTTATTATTGATCAAAGCTGTTGTTAACGTTATGATTGATCACAGCTATTGTCAATGTTATGATTTATCACAGCCATTGTCATTGTTATGAGTGATCAAAGCTGTTTTCAATGTTATGATCGATCAAAGATATCGTCAATGTAATAATGGATCAAAGTTATTGTCAATGTTATGATAGATCACAGCCATTGTCATTGTTATGATTGACCAAAGCTATCGTCAATGCAATAATCGATCAAAGCTATTGTCAATGTTATGATTGATCAAAGCTATCTTCAATGTTATGATTGATCACAGCTATCGTAAATGGTATGATTGATCAAAGCTATCGTCAATGTTATTATCGATCAAAGCTATCGTCAATGTTATGATCGATCAAAGCTATTGTCAATGTTATGATTGATCAAAGCTATTGTCAATGTTATTATTGATCAAAGCTGTTGTTAACGTTATGATTGATCACACCTTTCTTCAATGTTATGATTGATCACAGCTATCATCAATGTTATGATTGATCAAAGCTATTGTCAATGTTATGATCAATCACAGCTATCGTCAATGTTATGATCGATCAAAGCTATCGTCAATGTTATGATCGATCAAACCTATTGTCAATGTTATGATTGATCAAAGCTATTGTCAATGTTATGATTGATCAAAGCTATCGTCAATGTTATGATTGATCAAAGCTATTGTCAATGTTATGATTGATCAAAGCTATCGTCAATGTTATGATTGATCAAAGCTATCGTCAATGTTATGATTGATCAAAGCTGTTGTCAATGTTATGATCGATCAAATATATCGTCAATGTTATGATCGATCAAATCTATCTTCAATGTTATGATCGATCAAATCTATCGTCAATGTTATGATTGATCAAAGCTATCGTCAATGTTATGATCGATCAAAGCTATCGTCAATGTTATGATCGATCAAAGCTATTGTCAATGTTATGATTGATCAAAGCTATTGTCAATGTTATGATTGATCAAAGCTATCGTCAATGTTATGATCGATCAAATCTATCGTCAATGTTATGATCGATCAAATATATCGTCAATGTTATGATCGATCAAATCTATCTTCAATGTTATGATCGATCAAATCTATCGTCAATGTTATGATTGATCAAAGCTATCGTCAATGTTATGATCGATCAAAGCTATCGTCAATGTAATAATCGATCAAAGCTATTGTCAATGTTATGATTGATCAAAGCTATTTTCAATGTTATGATTGATCAAAGCTATCGTCAATGTTATGATCGATCAAATCTATCGTCAATGTTATGATCAATCAAATCTATCGTCAATGTTATGATCGATCAAATCTATCTTCAATGTTATGATCGATCAAAGCTATTGTCAACGTTATGATTGATCAAAGCTATCGTCAATGTTATGATCGATCAAAGCTATTGTAAATGTTATGATCGATCAAAGCTATTGTCAATGATATGATTGATCAAAGCTATCGTAAATGTTATGATCGATCAAAGCTATTGTCAACGTTATGATTGATCAAAGCTATCGTCAATGTTATGATTGATCACAGCTATCGTCAATGTTATTATTGATCAAAGCTATTGTCAATGTTATGATTGATCAAAGCTATCGTCATAACATTGACGATAGCTGTGATCGATCATAACATTTACGATAGCTTTGATCAACCATAACATTGACAATAGCTGTGATCAATAATAACATTGACGCTAGCTTTGATCAATCATTCCTTATACTGGTACTTATATAGAGATCCCCATACAATGTGTATTGATATATAAGTACCAGTGTAAGGAGGCAGGACCCCAGTTGATCACAGCTATTGTCAATGTTATGATTGATCAAAGCTATTGTCAATATTATGATTGATCAATTTAGCTATCGTCAATGTTATTATTGATCAAAGCTGTTGTCAACGTTATGATTGATCAAAGCTTTCTTCAATGTTATGATCGATCAAAGCTATCGTCAATGTTATGATCGATCAAATCTATCGTCAATGTTATGATCAATCAAATCTATTGTCAATGTTATGATCGATCAAATCTATCTTCAATGTTATGATCGATCAAATCTATCGTCAATGTTATGATTGATCAAAGCTATTGTCAATGTTATGATTGATCAACGCTATTGTCAATGTTATGATTGATCAAAGCTATCGTCAATGTTATGATTGATCAAATCTATCGTCAATGTTAAGATTGATCAAAGCTATTGTCAATGTTATGATTGATTACAGCTATCGTCAATGTTATGATCGATCAAAGCTATTGTCAATGATATGATTGATCAAAGCTATCGTCAATGTTATGATTGATTAAAGCTATCGTCAATGTTATGATTGATCAAATCTATCGTCAATGTTAAGATTGATCAAAGCTATTGTCAATGTTATGATTGATTAATGATCGATCAAATCTATCGTCAATGTTATGATTGATCAAAGCTATTGTCAATGTTATGATTGAGCAAATCTATTGTCAATGTTATGATTGGTCAAAGCTATTGTCAATGTTATTATTGATCAAACCTATCGTCAATGTAATGATCGATCAAAGCTATTGTCAATATTATGATTGATCAAAGCTATTGTCAATGTTATGATTGATCAAACCTATCGTCAATGTAATGATCGATCAAAGCTATTGTCAATGTTATGATTGATCAAAGCTATTGTCAATGTTATGATTGATCAAATCTATTGTCAATGTTATGATTGGTCAAAGCTATTGTCAATGTTATTATTGATCAAAGGTTTTACCTCTATTTCCCCTATTGGGCCCCGCCTCTTTGCCTCCAGAGGGGTCAGACACACCGTTTATACAAAATTGAGTCCCTTTGCCTAAGGATGCTCCAGACTAAATTAGGATAATATCCCTTAATCCCTATGGTAGAAGAAGGATTATAAAGGTTTTACCTATCTTTCCCCTATTGGGCCCCACCCTTCAAGTCCCAGGGGGGGCCACACAGACTGTTTATACAAAATTGGTTCTACTTTACCCAAGGATGCTCCACACCAAATATGGACCAAATCCTTTCATTCCTACAGACGAAGAATTTTAAAGAATAATTTGCTATGTTTCCCCTATTGGGCTCGCCTCTCAGGCCCCTGGGGGGCCACACCCAGGGTTTACACAAAATTGGTTTCCCTTCACCCAAGGTTGCTTCAGACCAAATATGGAACAAATCCTTTCATTCCTACAAAAGAAGAAGGATTTTAAAGAATTTGCTATATTTCCCCTATTGGACCCCACCCCTCAGGCCCCTGTGGGGACCAGACCCACAGTTGATACAAAATTGGTTTCCCTTCACCCAAGGATGCTTCAGACCAAATATGGAACAAATCCTTTCATTCCTACAAAAGAAGAAGGATTTTAAAGAATTTGCTATATTTCCCCTATTGGGCCCCACCCCTCAGCCCCCAGGGGGGCCAGACCCACCATTTATACAAAATTTGGTCAAAATCTGCTCAGTCGTTCATGACTAGTATTGTTTTAAAGG